CTAAGCCCACCAAAGTCCTGTTTAAGGCAAGTCAATATACTTTTCATCCATAATGGTATGTGTGTTACCACATGATTATGTATAAACGACTGTTAAATAATTTTAGTGGTTATAGTTTAAGTTCTTCCCTAGCTAAAATTTACCATTGACCCTTGACCTTTATCCATGGTGTTAGCACAAGTAAGTTTGCACTCAGCTCAAAGTCCCATTGATTTCTCTCTATATGAGAACAAACGGCTCAGAAATGTGCAGTAGTGTGATATTTCAGAGAGGATTATGGCATGAGATTACTGATCCTGTGGTTTATTTTGCCACTGTTGTCCAATGCCTAATGTGGATTTTATAATTTCAATTGTACAATTGTCTCTTGAGCAGACTCTTCAGGCTTTGGCTTGTTGTATGGTTGTGGGTGTTTGTCCTAAGAACAGTTGGTGGGGCTCAAAGCCAGCACAAATGCTGTAGACTGCCACCCCATCCTCCCGTTCCTCCGAGAACACTGTCAGGATGAGTTAATTGATTCTAGTAGGCTTTTCAATTGTTCTCCACATTATCAGGAACTGTGATGGTGTGAATGAAGGATGGAACCTGACATGAAAATAACCAATACCCTTAGTGACCAAAAAGAGTTCATGGCTATGACTTTTTGAAGTCTCCAATAATAGGTGTATGTACACAAAATTAATAATAATTATATATATATATATATATATATATATGTCAAACTTACACTTAAAAGATGAGAAAAATCATTTCATTTTGAGATTTGGTGCTCAAAAAAGCTTTAAAAATCTTAAAAGTAAAAAAAAAAACCTTAATACCTTTTTTTCAAGATTCTTTGATTAATAGAAAGTTCAAGAGAACAGCATTTGTTTAAAGTGACGTATGTATTTATGTATGTATATGCTATTTGTTTACCCAGAGTATACCTTTTAAAGCTGGTTGTTATGCAATCTGCAATCAAAAAGAAGGTGAAAAAAGCAATGGAAAATAAAGAATAATCAGAAGACGTAAATTGATAAGACAAAAGAATGCAGTAGAGGAAGCCAAGACTAATTAAACATCAACGTCTTTTCATGTGTTCCACTAAACAGATCTGAAAATAGCAAGAATCAGTTTGTCAATTAATCCATCTGTTCTTTTTTTCATTACATCAGTGCAATGAATATACTTGACTGAGCAGCTCTGAATTTTTTTAAAGTTAGATGTAGCTAAGAAATCAATCATGTATCAGGGCTATTAAGAAAACCTCCTGAACCCTTTGAACTCCAGTGACACATGTAACAGATAACCTAGTACACACTATTGCCAGAGAAGAGAGAGAGCTTTGGTTATAGCCAAGTGAGCAGCAGAGCTACAGATGGAGATTAGCAACGGCTCGCTGGCTCTCTCTCACTCTCGACTCCACAGACTGAGGTCTTACACCAGTCACTAACCATGCCCTCAAATAAACACACTGCCACCACTGCACATCCCCATGATGTCTGCTTTACCCTTGTTAATTTCCCCCAACTTTGTTTGTTAATGGAGTCATGAAGAATGACTTCCCAGTTAACAAATATATTCTAAGAATGACCTGCTAGCATTCCCATTAAGTTATGAAAATGTTATGTTCTCTGAATGCTCAAAACATTTAGTTTTTTAAATGCTTTAAAAAACGTTTTGGTTATGCTAATGTTAAAGAGATAGTGTGCCCAAAAATGAAAATTGCCCCATGATTTACTCACCCTCAAGCCATCCTAGGTGTATATGACTTTCTTCTTTCAGACAAATACAATCGGAGTTATGTTAAAAAATGTCCTAGCTCTTCCAAGCTTTATAATGGGGGTCGAGATTTTGAAGCCCAAAAAAGTGCATCCATCCATCATAAAAAGTGGCCCACATGGCTCTGGGGGGGTTTATAAACGCCTTCTGAAGAGGCATTTGTGTAAGAAAAATATCCATATTTAAATCTTTATAAACCGTAATCTCGTCGTACACGCATTCACGAGAGAGTGGCGTTCCAGCAGATGTCGTAGGACGTAGGCGTAGCATATAAACTCCGGTGAGAAGCGACAAATGCGGAAGCGCAGAGGAGAAGGCAAAACAAAACACTGGTCACGAATTAGAAGTACAAAACGAGGATTTGTAAAGAAAAATGTTGGAGAATTTCTATATAAGCCAAGATTAGACTAGTTTTCCTTTGCTGTAAACAAAACTTGGTTCTCGCAAGGCTAGCATATTCTCACCAGAGCTTACGCTACACCTACATCATCCGCTGAAATGCCACTCTCTAGTGAACATGTGTACGACAGTCAGCGGAAGCTAAAGATTATGGTTTATAAAGTATTAAACATGGTTATTTTTCTTACACAAACACATCGCTTCACTTCAGAAGGCCTGGAGTCGTGTACAGTACTTTTTATGATGGACACACACACGCACTTTTTTGGGCTTCAAAATCTCGACCCCCATTCACTGCCATTATAAAGCTTGGAAGAGCAAGGACATTTTTAAATATAACTCCAGTTGTATCTGTCTGAAAGAAGAAAGTCATATACACCTAGGATGGCTTGAGGGTGAGTAAATCATGGGGTAATTTTCATTTTTGGGTGAACTATTCCTATAAGGGAACATTCTAATTGATAATTTCCGCTGAAATGCCACTCTCTAGTGAACATGTGTACGACAGTCAGCGGAAGCTAAAGATTATGGTTTATAAAGTATTAAACATGGTTATTTTTCTTACACAAACACATCGCTTCACTTCAGAAGGCCTGGAATCTTGTGCAGTACTTTTTATGATGGACACACACACGCACTTTTTTGGGCTTCAAAATCTGGACCCCCATTCACTGCCATTATAAAGCTTGGAAGAGCAAGGACATTTTTAAATATAACTCCAGTTGTATCTGTCTGAAAGAAGAAAGTCATATACACCTAGGATGGCTTGAGGGTGAGTAAATCATGGGGTAATTTTCATTTTTGGGTGAACTATTCCTATAAGGGAACATTCTAATTGATAATTTTGCAAACTTCATTCGATTGTTACTTTTGAATATTCTCTGAATGTTCTATAACACGTAATAACATTTTTAAAACAAATTCAGAAGAAAACAATTCATAAACAATCTACAATTAACATTTTTGTGCTAAAGTTTTGAGAACATTATTAATAACCACATAACTCCAGAATAAATGTTGTTAATGTTAGCTTACTGGAAGACCTTTTTTTTCACTTTGAGAGAACCTTGCAATTAGCTAAAGTTCTGAGAACGTTCCCTGTTAGCTGGGTTCATTTCATCTTTGACTGGTTGAATCAAATCAACCTGGCCAGAATGTAAAAACTAAATATTAATAACATGTGACCACCTGGAACACCGTTTTAAATGCCTAGCTCACTTTACATAGTTTAATCAGGGGAAAAAATCTGAATTTTAAAATTCAGAACAGAGACACAAAACAAATACTGTGGAGGACAAAATGCATTCTTCATTCATCCATTCAGGCTTAATTAGGCAAACAAGGGAGATCAAGAGAAGGGGAAGCAAGTGAATTAAAGAAGAGCAGTGCGTTTCCTGTGGCTTCATTACAGGTAATGGGCACAAATCGATCACTACTCTCAACATACGCTAGTGGTCATGTTTACATTCAGACAAAAGCTGGTTGTGTATTCATTTACAAATGAAAGGCACGTCATGGAGAGATGAATAATGTAAACAGAATTAACCACATCCGAGGAAATATGTGCACTGCTGGAAAGTCTTAAGGTTGCCATGACTACAAGTGTTTCATGTCACAGGTCCAGTGAACAAAAGATTTATATTGATTGTCTTGGAAAAAAGTCTTAACCACGAGGCTATTACTAGAACAGCTGTACTTGGCAAAGAGATTACTCTTTAAAATGCTCCATGTGGCCGATCATTTTAGTTGCCAGAGTCTTCAGTAGTAAGCAGAGTGGCTCAGAGATGATGCTGGGTGAATCACAGCCTCTCATTGTCATAGATTGTTTCACTTTGCTTTGTGATCTGACAGCTTATCAAGCGCCAGTGTGCAGTTAGACAGTCTGTCAGCCTCATGTTGTGTTATTACCTCTTGACTAAAAAGAAATGTGGAAAAAATAGCATCTAGCAACAATAGAAAACCTTTCTTTGCAGTTCTACAGTGCGTTGGCCATACAAGAGACGGATTCAACGGGATTTTTTTGGAAGTCCTTTTGCGTACAGTGTCTCCTATAGCCTTGTTGCCATGTGAACAGCCTGAGCAGGAAATTCAAAGAGCTTTTCAAGAGGGGTCTTATATACTGTATATATTATTCAGACTGATGATATGAAATTAAGAATAAGCATGTAATCAATTTAAACTTAAAGGAATAGTTCAACCAGATATGACAATTTTCTGAAAATATACTTAACTTCAGCTTATCAAAGACGAGTTTGCTTCTTCATTGGAACAGATTTGGAGAAGGAAGTCCTTTTGCGTACAGTGTCTCCTATAGCCTTGTTGCCATGTGAATAGCCTGAGCAGGAAATTCAAAGAGCTTTTCAAGAGGGGTCTTATATACTGTATATATTATTCAGACTGATGATATGAAATTAAGAATAAGCATGTAATCAATTTAAACTTAAAGGAATAGTTCAACCAGATATGACAATTTGCTGAAAATATACTTAACGTCAGCTTATCAAAGACGAGTTTGCTTCTTCATTGGAACAGATTTGGAGAAATTCAGCCTTACATCACTTGCTCACCAGTGGATCCTCTGCAGTGAATGAGTGCTGTCACATTGAGAGTTCAAACAGCTGATAAAAACATCACAATCATCCACAAGTAATCCACACGACTCCAGCCCATCAATTAACAACTTGTGAAGTGATAAACAAATCCATCGAGAGAATTTTCTCTAAAACCAGAGTCATCTATCCATAACATCACTTACTCCAGTGAAAAAGCTATTTTGTCTGAATCAGGAGAGAAATATGCACAGATCAAGAATAGTTTAGTTCTAAACAAAGATTTTAATGTGAGAAGACAAGAACGAATGGACTTTCACTGGAGGAAGCATTATTATGGAGTCTTTGGTTTTTGAGTAAAAATATCTTGATGGGTTTGCTTCTTACAAACACATGGCCTTTCACTTCACAAAACATTAACTAATGCAATGGAGTCTTGTGAATTATTTTAAAGTTTACATCAGCTGTTTGGACCCATTTGCTACAGAGGATTCATTGGTAAGTGATGCAATGCTAAATTTCTCAAAATCTGTTCAGATGAAGAAACAAACTCTTCTACATCTTAGATGGCCTGAGGGTGAGTGCATTTTTAGATGTAAAATACCATACTGAATGTCATACTTCAAAAATGAGGCAAACTAAAGAAGTACAGATGTCAAAGGGTCATGATTTTTAATTTGGTTCCAAGTTCTTTTAAATTAAATATGTACATCTCAGAGGGCCAAAACATAAATTAAATGAATGTCTATTTCACAAACAAACAGTTTTTGCTTCACTTTACACATACATTGCTTGGGAAAGTGGTGCATGAGAGGCACAGCAGCATTTCACGTCCTGAAGTGTATTAAATATATCCAAAACTGTGGAAAGGTGTGACCTTAAATATGGTATTATTGCATTCAGTGGCAGAAATGTGCATGGCATCAAATGCATTCACCTCACCCATGATTCTCTTCAATACAGTTCCACATTTACAGAATATTCTGCACATCTTCTACAAGCATTAAAGTACTTCCTATAGATTTCTCGTACTCCTTGTGTGCTTCACAGAGGCATATTTAACATGCCAGAGTGTGTAACACATTAGACCAATCAACACTACTGAAAAGTGTGAGGTCCCACCGTATCATCAAAACATGATTACCACAATCTGTCAGCCATCACACAGGTTTAGACCATCCTGTGCTGATGAGGAATAAACGGGGTTGAGAGTGAAGGGTTTATTGTCCGTTAGGGCTATAGGTCTTGAACCCTACAGTGGTTCTCAAACAGGGGGTCTCAGTAAGCTCCAAAATGTCTCAAAATATTTAACATAAGCAGTTTAATTTAACTATTTGAATGTATTCTTTAGCAAAGTTATTAATATTATATAACATTAAATAACTTTTTTTTTTTGCATTGTGTTTATTATACTTTTAAAAATAAAGGCTCATTTATTGGCATCAGAGGTTCCGTGAAGAAACTTTAACATTCATGGAACCTTTACATTGCACTAAAGGTTCTTTCAAGTGAAAACATATTCTTCCCACTAAGAAAAAAATTATTCTTTTAAGAACTGTTCACTTAATTGTTCTTTTGGGAACCAAAAATGGCTTTTCTATGGTATTGATGTGAAAACCCCCTGTTGGAACCTTTATTTTTAGGAGTATGTTCTAGAAAGTAATTACCCTGAAAGTAATAATTATCACCCTAGTTTCTTTAAATAAAAAGGATTAAAAACAAGCATGTTTTTGTTGTCATTTCAGCAGAAGAACAAGATGACAAATGTATGTGTAAGGGGGGGCCATCAAATATTGACTTTTGGGGCCTTGAAATGACAAAGATTGAGAACCACTGTTCTAACTAACAGCATCCCATCTGTAAGGACAGAGCTGATACAGGACACAAGTAAAAACAGCATTGTGTAGCAAAAGCTTTGTCAGGACAGAGTGTCTGTTCATGGTGATTAATGCTGAGAGGCATATTGCTAATGTTCATAATAAATACCAGAAGGTTACATATCGCAAATGTTATTTCAATGCTGACGATGTGAGTCAATGAAAATAGGCTGGGTACAGTTCATTTGTTTTTGGGCTGTGCTGCTATATAAAGAGCTACAAGACAGTAGAGAGCTCCCCCGACTGTCAGTGCCATGGTGGTCCTGTACAAGAGTCTGTCTGGAACACCACGCTTCAGATGAACAGGAATCTCATCTGATGCCTGGATGAAAAAAGGAGGAAAAAACAAGTTGAGGAGAAAAGAGAGGGAAGAATTATAACGTATGCTCCACTTACATACACCCAAAACTGAAAATGCTGTCATTATTTACTCACCCTCATGACGTTCCAAACCTGTATGACTTACTTTCTTCTGCGAAACACAAAAGATTATATAATGTTGGTAACCAAAACTTACTTCCACTTAACTTCCCTTGTATTTTAATCTATACAATAGAAGTCAATGGGAACTGAAACTGTTTGGTTCCTAACATTTTTCCAAAGTATCTTCTTTTATGTTGAATAGAAGAATGTAAGCCATGCGGGTTTGGAATGATGTGAGGATGAGTAAATGATGATCATTTTCATTTATAGTTGGACTATCCCTTTAACTCAGCTACATAGCATAAAATACATCATATACATACCTGAAATATCCTCTGGAGGTCTGGCACCTTGTTGCCGCCCATATACTCCACTGCAGCACTCGATTCAGACACCAGTTTAGTTGGGGTGGTAAAGATGATGGTAGGGGATTCAGAAGGTACATTTGACCTCAATCCCTGAAGAAAGTTTACAAGCGAGTTAGGGTTATTCATTTTTGTTCACTAGGACTACATAACGTTTTTACTCAAATCACCATCTATCACAGTGGTTCTCGACCTTTTTGACCCCAAGGTCCCCTATTGTTCACAAGCAACAATATTGAATAGCAATATTTGTATTCACAATTTCTACCCGACAAGACATATTACAGTTTAGCATAACTAGAAAATGTGTATTCATGATAAAAAATAGTTTTAATATTTTATACATTTGCATGGCCTTTCCAGGTTTAGAATTTCATAGTTTTTTTAATTCATTAGAATTAAACATTTTAATTAAAAGCATTTTAAGTCATCTTGAGGCCCTATTCGAAGTTTGCGGAGACCTTTTTGAGAACCACTGATCTATGGGCTCTTGTTCTATTACCTTATGTTGTGAAATCAGTTTACGATTGTACAACTGAATTTGGTAACTTACTACTAAAACTTAGTGATGAACTGTTTAAACAACGGAGCTATGAAGAAGCATTCACACGCATATAATTTATGTAACTGTATCCACTACGTTGATTTTGGTGTGGACAGTAAGCTCTCCACTTTTGATAACAAATCAACTAAAATTAGCCTGCTTAATAATTTATGTTAAAATAGAGTTAGAGAAATGTATTTTACATATCGAACCACTATTTAAAATCACCTCTATGGGTAACATGAAGCATGCAGCAGATCAAGGTCACTAAATTAACCTTTTAGAAACGGAATCGCGCGCACATACCTGCGGGCTGTAGGCGGAGGATGACACGGCTCCCGTCAGTCTTTGTGTAAATCCACTAAATTTGTAATACATTTTATTAATAAGTGGTAACCGGCGAGGACGAGGTGATAGTGACCGTCGGGAAGACTTCTTCTTCTTCTTCTTCTTCTTCTCTCGAGTTTTTTGGCGGATTGGCAAACCAACGTTAAAGGTACATGTCCGCCACCTACTGGTCTGGAGTGTGAAACGCACACGGTTCAACTAAGAATTATTCAACTATTATAGATAATAATTGTTTTTTTAAATTAAATAAAATAATTATAATAATAATAAAATAAAATACTTTTTTTAACGTAAATAAATACACAATTCCAAACTTCAAACTCTTTCCATTAATCTTGTCTTTTAAATACTTAAACAATTCTCCATATATTCTTGATTGCTTTACCCCATAACCTAATAGTGTCTTTAGAGATATACTACTAATTCCCATCAGTTCCAGTTCTTGGAACATCTGATGTCTTTCCCTTTCATACGCTATACATATTAAAAAAACATGCCTGCATTTGTATCTTCTCAATCTTTTTAATCCAAGTTTTATTTGCAGAAGTATACACCATATAACCATAATTAATGTTGGCTCTTATTACTGCTTTATATGTCCTTTCCATTGAATGACGCCTAGCCCCCCATTCAACTCCAGATAAGCATCTTAATATGTTTATCCCTTTCTTACATTTGTCTATCAGCTTCTGAATATGTATTCTGAAGTTCAATTTTGAGTCCATCCATATTCCTACAAATCTGACTACATTAACTTGCTCTAGCTGTTGCCCATACGTTTTTATATTCAGAGAAGGATTCATTTTCTTATTCGAAAAACATATTACCTGCGTTTATACATTTATTCAAATATTTTGTTTATACCTGTGAGCATTTTGGCTGTTTTGTGTATACTATTTATTTATGTGTATATAATTTATTTTTTGAGCTTGTGCAGAAATATTTTATTGAAAAAATTATTTATTAAAAAATAAATGTCATTTAAGTTAATTAAAAAATTAATTAGCTTTCTTTTAGAGAGAGCGAGAGAGAGACCCAAGCTTTTTGCCACACTTTTTGCTTCAGTAAATACCTCTTATGGTATGTTTTGGTCAGTTATGAAATACAAAACACGTCATGAAACATCAAAAAATGTTACCATAAACATCCAGTTGTTGTTTTGACCAGTGGAAATTCTAATTAATAAATTATATGCTATTAAGACATATAAACCAAATAATAAATTGTCCCCAAATAAATATTCTTGAGCTGAGAAAAAATATGCTTACCCTAAGAAGAGAGACAGTTCAATGGCAGATTCCCATGGTCAAAATATAATATCATGCCCCACTGTTGTCACAAAAGGTCAGCATGTGTTCAGTGAACTGTATCTTTTCTCCTGGGCAATAATGGTGGAAATGTGTAATAATTTTTGAGTTTCAAAAATAAAACCACCCTGAAAAATATTCACAGGAGTAAAAACTGACACCTAGACCCATGCAGGCATCCATATATTAAAACACTCAGGAGCACTTTGCTTCATATATTTAAGATTATATTTATGTCACATTCCTTTCTGTATTATAATTAGAGAAAGAATAAGGCTTGAATCCATAAACATTTCTTTATTTTCCTCATACACATAAACAACCTTGCCTTAACCAAGTAGAATTCATTTTCGGTTACAGAAGAGAGCTACATAAGATTTCATTTGCATCATTATGACCCTTCAAAAATAGCCACAAATACATAGCTACAAAATGATACAGATATGAAGGCATACATCTCCTTATAGAGGCAAAAATAAACTTTGTCTGGTGTGACAATTTAGACCGGGGTGGGCAAACTTGGCCCTTCCAGGCCACTTTCCTTCAGAGTTTTCATTTTTAAGAAAACAATGGACTAATCAAAATCATTTTATGTGATAATCAACATTATGCCACAATTGCTTTCGATTCAGCTGAACTTCTATTGGACCTGTATCCCTGTACCAAACACGTCCTTGAATATTACCAGTGAATATGAATATAAAAATAATAATAACCACTACACAATGGTGCTAAGTAGCCTTCAATTACGTTTACGCTTTGCTACTGTACGTAAACAAGTCATGCAAAGTATTTAGATCAGATTCCATGCAGCCATGCAGTTAATGTGCTTTATATGGAAAATGTCCTCTCATTCAGACTCCAGTCTGTTGTTGACAGTGGAGTGTCAGTGTCTATGGAAGCTGCAAGGCAGGGAGGTATGCTTGCTCAGTAGACCTTGAACTTCTAATTAAAAAAATGTATTTATATAATTGAGTGCAACTCGATATCTGTTAATATTTAAACTAACAAATCATTGTTTTAAAAGGCTGCATCTACAAGAGAATTTGCCCCTAAATTTGCACTTTCACTCTGAATGGTTTTACTGTACTGTTCAAAACAAATTTATAAAGAGCTGTGATAAGACTGTTGCGGCAGGAAGGCATGCAAATAGGGCCAAGAATTACTTAAGTGAAGATGTGATAATATATGTACATGTGCCCACAAATGCCAGAATGCTGGGTTAACAATGAATGCGTATGCTATAAACATCCTCAGAAGGCACGTGAACATAAAAATCTATACATTTAAACATTTGGACCTTTACAGGCAACAAATGAACGGACGTTTAAAGATACACCGTTACAGCTCAAATAATACACTGGTTTTAAAAGAAGAGTGCTTTTATACAAGTGTCTTACTGTCACCTTGATTTTTTTTTTTTTTTCATTTTTAAGAAAACAATGGACTAATCAAAATCATTTTATGTGATAATCAACATTATGCCACAATTGCTTTCGATTCAGCTGAACTTCTATTGGACCCGGAATATCCCTGTACCAAACACGTCCTTGAATATTACCAGTGAATATGAATATAAAAATAATAATAACCACTACACAATGGTGCTAAGTAGCCTTCAATTACGTTTACGCTTTGCTACTGTACGTAAACAAGTCATGCAAAGTATTTAGATCAGATTCCATGCAGCCATGCAGTTAATGTGCTTTATATGGAAAATGTCCTCTCATTCAGACTCCAGTCTGTTGTTGATAGTGGAGTGTCAGTGTCTATGGAAGCTGCAAGGCAGGGAGGTATGCTTGCTCAGTAGACCTTGAACTTCTAATTAAAAAAATGTATTTATATAATTGAGTGCAACTCGATATCTGTTAATATTTAAACTAACAAATCATTGTTTTAAAAGGCTGCATCTACAAAAGAATTTGCCCCTAAATTTGCACTTTCACTCTGAATGGTTTTACTGTTCTGTTCAAAACTAATTTATAAAGAGCTGTGATAAGACTGTTGCGGCAGGAAGGCATGCAAATAGGGCCAAGAATTACTTAAGTGAAGATGTGATAATATATGTACATGTGCCCACAAATGCCAGAATGCTGGGTTAACAATGAATGCGTATGCTATAAACATCCTCAGAAGGCACGTGAACATAAAAATCTATACATTTAAACATTTGGACCTTTACAGGCAACAAATGAACGGACGTTTAAAGATGAATACAAAACAAGGGAATGAGATCCACAAAAACATCTTTGATATCTTTGGAAATACTATAAGACTGCATGCATGACAAACCTCACTGGGTTTATTTTAATCTCTTACCAGTTTGTCATACACATATTAGAACACATACCTGAACCCTGAGACAAACAGTGGCCACTGTGGGAAATGGAATCAAGACTGCACTGGATACATAAAGAAAAAACCTACTCACAAATACTTCCAGACAGAGAGAGACGGGGACATAGAATACCCAAAATGACAATGCGGCTCATAACAGGGAATTATGAAAACATGACTGTAATTGTTCATCTCTGATGGAGAGTACCAGGAAGATGTCATGTTTACTTTGGATGACGACAAAATGTTCGTACAGAATATGGAAAACTAATTGTAATAATTTCTTAACAGGTCTAATTGCAGGGGAGACTGGGGAGTTTTCTGGGACACAAAGGATGTTGTAACAGCATCACCAATTAGGCCAAAGGGGTGAAATCACCACCCTCCTGAGGTAAAATAAGTTTTGAGTATGTTTGTAAAAGTAGAAATGGGTCCAAAGGGCAGAAAACAATTATGAGGCAATGAAATTATTTTCATCTTGATTATAATTTGATTTGCAATCATGTTAATGGATGTAAAATGTCATAAAGTGTATGCTCAGTAGGTTTTGTTGTTTAACTTGATAACTTGATGAGGGGGGTTGTAATGCAAAAAATTTTTCCCACAAAGATTACATAGAACGATACAGTTTAAATTCAGCAAATGACTCACACATATTCAGCCTATTTTAAGAGTTGTTTTTACATAATAATTATTTTAAACAAATAAATATGATTACCACAATAAATGTAAGCATGACCAAATATAAAATCTCCATGTTTTCAAATGGTGTTAAATATCATTCATGTAGTGAGGAAGGTGGTAACGTCAGTATAGGATCAGATTCCCACCAAATGTATTGCAGTCACGGATAAAAAAATAACAAGCGTGAAACCAACATGTAATAACGCATTTAAAAAAATAATAAGCAAGAATCAAAACTTTAAACACATTTAAAATCATATTGCACAAAACTGAAATATTAATGCAAAAGTATACGAATTGCACACAAAATCATTTTTCCTTGGTTCTATTAGTTTTTTGTTCTCTCAGACATTTTCTGCATATATTTTTATTTTTTGTATGCTTATGCTGTTTTTCCCTTCCCTCTTTATTCCACGTTCTGCGCTTCTTCTTCCAAATGTTGCGGTTAGAGTTTCATGTAAATCAGGGCGGGCTTAAGCGTCATCATTGGTCCACTAGTTCTAGATTGACAGCTCCTCCTCTAGCCAATCAGTCGAAGAGGGGCGGTGACGTCACTCCGACGTGCCTCATTACTGCCGATGCTCAGTGTTCTGTTCACTTGTACAGGTGAAAATGGACAACTGTCAGCTGGGAAACATCCTTCCATACAGGACACCGTTATATGTGTCTGTCTGTCTGTTACTGCTGTACACCCACCTTGCGATCCGTTAACGTAAAAGGGGTCATATGATGTTGCTAAAAAGAACATTATTTTGTGTATTTGGTGTAATGAAATGTGTTTATGCGGTTTAAAGTAAAAAAAACACATTCTTTTC